TACAGAAGTGGCAGGTCTGTTGCGGGAAAGGAGAGATTGACTTTGCCTCCTTGGCTGTTGTATTCATGGCCCGTCCTCAGTGTGAAACTTAACGCAAGAAGGAGTTTGTGCCCCATAAAGGCATGGGCTGGTCAATCTTGTTGATCCACTAGATCCATAGCAGGCTATTTGTTGACTGAACAGACAAATGAATGAAAGGCTAGGGAAGCCATACAAAGCCAGATGCTCTTACCCTCCACCTCCTCCTGGGATGACTGTGGGGATGACTCACGTCCTGCTGCCCCCTCACTTTCTCAGCCTAAAACCACACATCCTGGACTGTGCAGGCAGCAAGCTGACCCTTCCTTTTCCGCTGCAGGACCTTCGTTACACACAGTTCCCAAGTTTCCAGCAAGTTGCCTTTCTTCCCTGTTTAAGAGTTGAGAAAACTGGGCCTTGGGGAAAACAAGAAGTCCCAGTTTAAGTCACCAGAGATGTCTTTCTAAAGAAGCATTCAGGATGCTATGCTATCCAAAAGCTGGCTCCAGAGACACCTGGACCATTTCAAGCTCTAAGAACTGTGTTTCTGTTCCCTCTGTCTGGCTCCTATGCCATATCACGCCCACACGTGTGAACTCAAAGCCAAAGGGAAGAGACTAGGCCATGTGCAGCCAGGACGGAGGCATGTAAAATCTGGAGAGGGCGGACCAACCTCCCATACTCCTGTGTTGGCAGAGAAATAGACCCGCCAGTTTGCCTGGCACAGCCAAAACTCAGCTTTCTTGCTGTGGGATGCTGGCCTGAGACCAGTCTCAACCAGTCTCCATATCAGGGCTTGGCTGTCCGGGTGCTTGAAAGTACCCTTCCCCCACCCGGATCCCAAGCGTCCCTTGGACCCTGCCAGGACAGAGCCACAGATGCCGGGGAAATGGGAAATGTCTGGAGACAGAGAGGACAGCCACATCCAAAGCCGATAGGAAAGTGGTGGTGGTGACATGTGGCCCTTGCTTGAAACATTATTTTGAACTTATTTCCTGTAGGAATTGACTACAGGTGGGTTTTGTCTTGCAAGGTAGGTTTCCTTTCTTGAGAAGTCTCAAGAGAACAGTTTTCAGTTTTCTAACCATCTAAGACATGGTTAGACCACTGCAACAACTTTATTTCTGGAGACAATATGTGCTCTGGCTTCCTGCCTCTTCCTACTCTGGGGAAACTGGGGCCAGTCTTGAAGACTGATCTCCTAGAAATGTCCTTTTTTTATTCCGAAAGGGTTTGACGCAGCTCAAAATACAGGCTGTAAAAGCAACAGAGTTAATAAAAATGAGGGGGAAAGAAGGAGGAAGTAAATGTGTTCACTTAAGTGCAAATAAGAGTTGGCACCTAGGGCAATCATACTTGCCTCAGCACTTGCTGGCATCCTGGGAAAAGGCACTTACAATCTTGAAACTTGTCAGGTTCTTCGCAGCTTTAACTGTCGCTGCCTTCTCTGTACCTCCATTTCTCTGTCTATAAAGTAAGGGGAAAATACTTCATACGAGATTTGAGAGCATCACCTGAGACAATGCATGCAGAGCACCTGAAACAGTGCCTGGCACACAGTAAGCATTCAACTGCATCACAGATATTATTATTATTATTATTTTGAGATGGAGTTTCGCTCATGTTGCCCAGGCTGGAGTGCAATGGCATGATCTTGGCTCACCACAACCTCCGCCTCCCGAGTTCAAGGGATTCTTCTGCCTCAGCCTCCCAAGTAGCTGGGATTATAGGCATGCGCCACCACACCCAGCTAATTTTTGTATTTTTAGTAGAGACGGGATTTCTCCATGTCGATCAGGCTGGTCTCGAACTCCCGTCCTCAAGTGATCCACCTGCCTTGGCCTCCCAAAGTGCTGGGATTACAAGCTTGAGCCACCGTGCCCAGCCACAGGTATTATTATTATCTCATTCATCTGGGGATGGGGAGGGCATTGGTGGGTGGAAAGGAAGGAACTGGTTCTCCTTTACTGGAAGGCTCCTACCTTCTCTTCCCTGGATGTTCTTGCCCCTGCTCCCATTCAAGTCCTCATAGACGGCCTCTGAAGCCGCCTTTGTTCCTGGTCTGGCTCCAGAACGTTCCCATGCCCACTTGAGCTCCCTCTGCTTCAAGTAGACTATTTCCAGGATGCGTACTTCATGTACATTGAACAGTGACCTCAAATGCATTTCCTTGACTGTGCCTCTCTGAACTAAAAAGTGCAGAAATGGCATTGTTTCCTTCTTTTGTCTGGTCTTCCGCAGGGCTAAGTTGAGATCGCGGGAGAGTACCTTTCCTAGCTCTCAGCAGCTCAACTCCACCTAATTAGTGAATGATGGACATGTCCCCAAGAAGACTCCAAACCCACAGTGCCCGGCGTGGTGTTCTGCAGCATGCCACAGGTCATCTTGTTCTGTCCTCTCTGAGGGTGAGGTTGGGGAGGGACCCTCAGCTCACAGGCTCAGTGACAGTGACTCACCAAAGATCCTGTGGGCAGACAGGGTCTGGGCCAGACCAGTGAGCCCATTCACATGGCATGAGCCGCAACCCTGCCTCTTCCTCCGGCAGCAGCCCGCTTTGTATGTCCCCTCACTATGAGCCGTGGGAGAAATCTGAAAGAGCTTGGATCAGAGGGCAGGGAGAAGAAGGTGGTCCTGACATCTGACACATACTTCATTTTAAACATGGGCTATGTATGACAGGCCTTCAGCTAGTTATTGAACAAAGAGAATAAGAGCCCTTTTAGAAGGGCTTTACATATATTCATTCATTTGGTCCTCACAACAGCACTGTGAGTTAGATCTCTCAATCTCTCCCCTTTACAGACCAGGAAACTGAGGCAGAGAATGTATTTGCCTATGGTCACAGGAATAGTAATAGAGCAGGTGGTTTAGTCTTACAGTCTATGTGTTTAAACGCTAGACCAAACCACCTCCCTAAGATACTAGAGGGTGTTTGTGCCAGTGCCTGGATTCTAAGTGGTTAGACTCTCTTTAGGATCTCTGACCTGTTTCCCCAGCATTCAGAGATAAGTTCAGAAACAATGCCATTTGTGCATGAACTGACAACTGACGGTCCTCCTACCTCCTACTTCTATTTAAAAGGCACTGTTACTTCTTTCCACAGGCAGACCCCTACCTCTCCTCCCTTAGGGGAGGATGAAGGTGTCCCAGCCAAGGAAGGTCCTGGTCTCCAAGGGCTGTACCCTACTGGTCCTGAGGCAAAGCATTGAGGGCCCACCCCAGTTCCTCACCTCCCTTTCTACCCTTTCTGCCCACTGAGGCAGAGGCATCTCAGTGTTGGAAAGATAAGGATTTCTTCCTAAAAAGGAAAGATTATACTATATCAGAGTCTGAAGATAGTTTTCATTTGCAACGCAAGGCAATTCCTTAGAATCTCTACCGTATGATTTCTCTGCAAACCCACTCCGATGGGGCTGGAGAGTGCTCTCTCACTCAGATGAATCTCTCAGGGCTTGTCCAGCAAGTGTTTGCCAACTTGAAGAGCTACCTACTATCACAGACCTATAAAAGTACACCCGTGGACAGACTGAAAACACACACACACACACACACACACACCCGCACACCGGGAGAAGTTCTAGGCAATTTCCTCGCAAATAACTGCTTTGAAAATTACTGTTTTAAATGGGCAAAACACGAAGGACTTTGAACAGATCATCCTTTTTACTCAATGTTTTCCTAACCTTGAAGTGAAGGTGGAGGGCACAGTACGTTTTAAGGTGCCAGGATTACACTAAGGGGTCAGTGCTCCCGGATATGAACTTTCTTTTTCAGACCGACCTTGGGACCTACAACGTTGTAAGTCGCTCATACAACTCCATCAAATGTTATAGGTAGGTCAGAGGACATTCAGGTTGTTTAATCCTCTATAAATGACTCAGGCAGCAACAATTTACAATGTCTTTGTTTCTGCTATACAGTGCCCTCCTGCTAGAGATGGCAAAAATGTGGGGAGGGCTTCACAGCATTCTAAGACGGGTATTTCTGGCTGGAATTTTGAAATCTCACTACAATCCTGACAAGAGACCACGATCTTAATCTTCCATGGCACGACTGGTTAGTCTTGATCTTAAGCCATATAATCAACCCCCAAATGTGTATTAACACATCTAAATAATGTCAAAACTACTCTATATACCACGCAGGCGGCCAGAAATCAATCTTTCCCTCAAAAGGATAAGCTTTCAGGATGCAATAACATCCCCTTCCACCCTTTTCTACATCCTAAAACAGGAATATTCACGGTAACAGCAAAGCGGAAATCAGCTTTTCCTGAACATGTACTGAATTCTAGTCACACTCACACACGTTAATTCATTTAATTCCAGCCACAGGGTAGGCAGCCGCTGTTAACATTTTACAATTGTGAGAACGCAGTCAGAGATCTGGGACTTGCTCAAGGTGACACACTGCAGCAAGGAGGCAGAATTTGAATCCGAAGCAGTGTCCCTCCCCCTCGCCACAGCTGCGGCGTTACAAACACAGGTCAGTTACGGAGAAATTAATGACCCACAGCCATCCTTGCAGCTCTGCGCCATAACTGGGGAGACAAGCTGGTTCCCGTGACTCTTCGGTCTTTCTGTCTTCATCCAAGTGCATGACTGCGGGAGCAAAGCGACCACGTGAGCATCCCCCCCCTCTTTCCCCAGGCGAGGGACAGTGCCAGGCCAAGGACAAGTCACAGGTGCAACAACGTGCCAGAACTGGATCCGGAGCCCCAGGGTGCAAGATCTCCCGCAGCGTCACCCGGCAGACGGGACGGGTGTGGCCACCGGGCGCGGCAGGTCATGTGTGCGCTCAAAGTGCGGCTGGAGGCGCGGACGGCTTTCCAGAGCCCCGAGAGAGGAGCTAGGAATGACTTTGGTCGCAGCCTCTGTGTCATGTCGCAGCATGACGGCCTCCAGGGTGACGGCGAGGTCCCCCTCGCTCTCTGGCGGTAATCAGCCGGCGGGGCCAGACGGTGCGGAGACTCCAGGGCGAGGCCTCAGGGAGGGGGCTGTCCCGCCCCACGTGGACCGGCTCCCTGCTGGGGGCGTGGCCGCCGGCGCGGGCCGGGCCAATGAGCGCCACCGTCAGGCTCACCCGGCTGGGCACGCCGGGCCGAGGAGGGCTGCGTCATGCCGGGGGCGGGGCTCCGGGGCCGGCGCGAGGCGCGGCGGGTCACGCGGGTCGCGGCGCGGGCTATAAGTAGGGGCCGGCGGCGTGCTCCGCTAGAGTGATGGCTGCCGGCGTTCGCTGCGTGCTTCTTCTTCTCGGCTGCTGAGGCCCCCCCGCGGCTGCTTCCTGGATAAGTCGTGAGTCCCGCGGAGCTGTCCCCGGTGCCGCCGACCCGGGCCGTGTGCTCGCCGACCGCAGGTGCGACCCGTGGCTCCCGCTGCCGCCTCGATCTCCTCGTCTCCCGCTCCGCCCTCCCTTTTCCCTGGTGAGTAGTGGCGCCGCCTCGTAAAGGCTCTTTCTTCTCTCGGGGGCCGGGCGCGGACGCCGTGGCGCTGGAGGCAGCCGGCGTGGGCGGCGCGACTGGCTTCTCTCGTTGCAGCTGGCCGCCTCCACTCCGCCCGTCCGCGGGCCTTTTTGGCGGTCCCTGGGCGGCGCGCGCGGGAACGGCCCTTTTCCGGTTTTCGCGCGGAGGGCGCGCGCGGGCTGGCAGCGCAGGGGCTGGGCTGGGCTGGGCTGGGCGCGCGCGGGCCGCGGACGACCCTAAGCCACGTGCCCGGCCGTCTCGCGCGTGCTACTGGGGATGGGGGTCTGGAGTAGCCCGCAGGGGCCACTGCGGGGCCCCGGGCGCGTGGGCAGAGCGGGGTGCCCCACTGGCCCCCCAGGGGCACGCAGCTATTGTTATTTTCCCCCTCCCCCGCAGGATGAACTTGCGTCCTTTCTCTTCTCCGCCATGGAATTCCGCTCCGTGCTTTTAGCCCTCCTGAGCCAAAGAAACCCCAGACAACAGATGCCCATACGCAGCGTATAGCAGTAACTCCCTAGCTCGGTTTCTGTGCCGTAGTTTACAGTATTTAATTTTATATAATATATATTATTTATTATAGCATTTTTGATACCTCATATTCTGTTTACACATCTTAAAAGCCGCTCAGTAGTTCTCTTACTAAACAACCACTACTCTAGAGAATGGCAACGCTGATTACCAGTACTACAGCTGCTACCGCCGCTTCTGGTCCTTTGGTGGACTACCTATGGATGCTCATCCTGGGCTTCGTTATTGCATTTGTCTTGGCATTCTCCGTGGGAGCCAATGATGTAGCAAATTCTTTTGGTACAGCTGTGGGCTCAGGTGTAGTGACCCTGAAGCAAGCCTGCATCCTAGCTAGCATCTTTGAAACAGTGGGCTCTGTCTTACTGGGGGCCAAAGTGAGCGAAACCATCCGGAAGGGCTTGATTGACGTGGAGATGTACAACTCGACTCAAGGGCTGCTGATGGCCGGCTCAGTCAGTGCTATGTTTGGTAAGTTCTTTTTAGGTTTTGCCCTCTTTGTGGTGGGTGAGCAAATTTGTATCATGGGTGGTTCCATTTTTGTTTGTGCTTAACCTTTCAGATTAACCTTTCTGAATGCGCCACTTACATAATGGAATTTTGCCATTTACTTAATAAAACTTGACTGTTTCAGGTTCTGCTGTGTGGCAACTCGTTGCTTCGTTTTTGAAGCTCCCCATTTCTGGAACTCATTGTATTGTTGGTGCAACCATTGGTTTCTCCCTCGTGGCAAAGGGGCAGGAGGGTGTCAAGTGGTCTGAACTGATAAAAATTGGTATGTTTAATTCCAAATGGCTTCTTCATTTTCGTGTTTGTCGTTTGTTACCATGGCCTTAGATGTGGGAGTATGTGTTCTAACGTGGAGGGACAGACCAAAGAATTTTGAACTCTTAAACATTTAAAAGTGGTTTCTGGTTTCTGATTTTCATTATTTGATATTTTTTCTTAATGTGTTCTATTCCAGTGATGTCTTGGTTCGTGTCCCCACTGCTTTCTGGAATTATGTCTGGAATTTTATTCTTCCTAGTTCGTGCATTCATCCTCCATAAGGTAACCTTTCTCCCCTGTGTGAAGACCTTTCATGGAGCACACCCAATCGATTTCAAACCCAGTGGTATTTTCGCAGATGTGATTGGTGTATAAATATGTGGCCTTGAAAAGTTAAAAAAAGTTATTTATTCTGTGCGTGTCTTGTATGTTGTGGAGTTCTCTGAAAGCAAGGTTTTAATACTCAAGAGGACAGTCAGGAAGGAAGAATTGAATACTATGATGTGCCAAGAAATAGGAGAAGCTGGGAGCAAAAAAATACAGACATTTATTTTGGGTGGCTTTGTGTAGCTGTATACAGATTATTTGTTTAAACCACCATTATATTCAGGCTAATATAATGCGTAAGCTTGGAGTTCAAGACAGTATTTCCTGTGGCTTTTTTAGTAAGCTGCCAGTTAAATGGGTCTCTGCAGTACTGATTATCATAACCAGTTTATAAGCTTCTAGATGAGGACTCTGCCTCCCATGGTGACTTGACTCCAATTTCTCAGAATAGGTGAAAAGAACCAGTTAAAGGTAGTTTTTGGCTAAAAAAAAAAGGAAGTTTTGGCCAAAAAAAAAAAAATTCAGGCAGCCATTTAATTTCCTGTCCATTTAAAAATCCCTTTTAAGTGATCCAATAGCATTTCTTTGATCAAGAAGTCATGCTGGCTCCAGAATAAATGTTGACAGGGGATTATGTTGGCATAGCACTGAGTTACAGTGAGAATAAATGCATTTTTCTCAGGACACAAAGTTGTCCTTTTTCTAAGGTGAATGGCTCTTAACGATCCATTGTAAGTTCTTAAAAATGTTCCTAAACTCTAGAAATCTGAGTGAGATAGCATAAATCCCAGCAGGTAAAAATGTGTGCAGACCCACTTGTCTGGTCTAGTCTAGTTCTAAGCTTCTCTAGGGAAAGATTTGTCTCTTCTCTGTAGAAATTCTATGACTAGTAAAGTGATTCACTGATCACTTTTCCATAGCTGGAATCTGGCAGAATAGAGCAGTTTAACACTTTGAAAACTTGAAATATCTTTAGCTTGGTATAAATTGAGAGTAAATAGTTCATTGATGTTTATGAACTCTTAAGTTTGGTACTGTTTTATTCAGCAGACAGGTGCGATGAGCATCTACCTTCCCACTCCCTACAACTGTAGTGTACGATACTAGGATGCTTAAATTAGAGGCTCACCAGTAGTAATGGACCAGATTGTTTTTTTTAGTGTTTTTATTAGAACCCTATATCTTGCTACTTAACAGAGAGTCAGAAGCATTAGTAGGATCTCCTGCTGTGAATTCCTGCTTGGTACAGGTTTATACTGGCCCTGCGTTGATTACTGAGTAGTAGATCATTTTGTTTTTAGAGAGGGTTTGTGTGTTTCGCCTCCACAAAGCACTTATTCCCCAGAAGGGAGTGGTGGTGCTCTGGGGTGCAAAGAAGGATTCTCAGGTGCCCAGAACCTCTCATTTGAGGAATGCATACCCCCGCGGTGTTAGTGAGAGCTGAAGTTAGATACAGTAACTGATTTCTTAATTGTATATGTCTTATATGGGTATGGGAATGGGCATGATCAAATGATGAAGAACGATTGGCATAGTGTTTAAAACAGTATTGACTTTGAGGATCTTCCCCCACTCTGTGCACGCGCACACACACACTCTTGCAGGCCAATCCCTCAGTAACAGGAGTTTTTCAGATGAGTATGAATATTTCTGCTTCCTTTTAGGAGTTAAATTTCAAGAAAATATCCTTAGACTGGTAAGCTTTGGGTATCCTAACTGCTAAAATCTGAATATTTGACCATTAAGATACATTCCAACTCTTAAATGTCTATCTTGAAAATTAAGATTAAAATGACTTTTTTAATTTCAAAAAATTGCTTATTCTCTGAATGTTTGTTCCAAGCATGTTGGGAATCTGGTGGGAACAGACAGAATGGAGGTGAGTTAGTTCTGTTTAGGACTGGCATTGCACAGAAGGAATACTCTTCAGTGCTCCTGTTGAGTATTTTTAAATTCTAGTCAAAACAGAAACAGGGCTTTTGGCATTCTCATTTGTTAGAAATATATCTAGGATATCTTCCCTTTTCTTTAGACAAAACCAGAATATCCAATACGTAAAAGTGACCTATTCTGGTGACGATGGGGGGTTTTGTGAAGACCTTCTTTCCCATCCCACATGACTAGACGAGGAGGCATTCACATTATTTCCAGGTGAAGTTTTACTTGTGTGTTAGGTGGATCTGCACAATGATGAGAGACCTTCCTTGTTTTATCTTCTTCCTAGACTCTCCAGAACTTTCTCCGAACTTTTGTTATTTTTTTTAAACCATGAACCTGTATTCCTTAATAAACTATTCGTGTAGTAGTGTAATTCATACCCTACCCCATCCCCAACAACTTTGCGTAGAGAGTACCTCAGATTTGTTTACCTCGGGGAATACTTAATTGGGCTATAATACAGGATAATAAATACACAGGCTGCTACTTCTGACTAGTCAGTTACGATTTGATTTATAGATAACCATATTTTGAAATATCTTTCAAAATCTATTGAGAAGTCCCCACATAATGTCTTTAAAACCCTAAAGGGTTTTAATTTTGGAGGGTGGAAGTCTTGGGTTGGGTTTTTTGGAGGCCTTTTTTTTTTTTTTTTTTTTTGAGACAGAGTCTCACTCTGTCGCCCAGGCTGGAATGCAGTGGCACGATCTGGGCTCACTGCAACCTCCGCCTCCCGGGCTCAAGCAATTCTCCTGCCTCAGCCTCCTGAGTAGCCGGGATTACAGGTGCTTGCCACCACACCCAACTAGTATTTTTGTATTTTTAGTAGAGACAGGGTTTCACCATGTTGGTCAAGCTGGTCTCGAACTCCTGACCTCACGTGCTCTGTCCACCTTGGCCTCCCAAAGTGCTGGGATTACAGGCTTGAGCCACTGCACCTGGCCCTTTTTTTTTTTTTTTTAAGAAGCGAAGTCTTGCCCTGTCACCCAGGCTGGAGTACGATGACTTAATTGTAGCTCACTGCAGCCTTGACCTCCCAGGCTCAAGCAATCCTCCTGCCTCAGCCTCCAGAGTAGCTGGGACTACAGGTGTGTGCCACCACATCGGGCTAACTTTTCATATTTTATAGAGGTGGGGTCTTGCTCTGTTGCTCAAGTTGGTCTTGAACTTCTGGGCTCAAGCCATCCCCCTGTCTCATCCTCCCAAAGTGCTGGGATTACAGACAGACGTGAGCCACCACCACACCTGACCCGCATTTTCTTAAAACTAGTCTTTAGAATAAAAATACACACCTTAGTTTCCTCATTTTGTTGACTGCCCTCAGAGTTTGGAGTTAGTTATTCAAGGATGCTTAACAGTTCTTGGTTTCTGTAGGCTATTGTTTTTGTTTTGACTGTTTCACTATCTGTTAACATTCTCTATTAAACTATAGATAAGAGTTAAATTTTAGAGTGGTTTTCAGTGAGCCCCCGTCTCTGCTAATTTGAAATGGTACCTTTACTTTACACTTGGGTCTGCGCTTTCCCTTGTTTCATTGCTCTTAAGCTACTGACTTTCCAGTGTATTGATTATTGGTAGAAGCTATAGAGTTTTACTCTGTTTTTGCTCCCCAAGATTTTCCATTGGAATTGTGATCAAGATAGCATTAAGCCTTTTAGGTTAAGATCTTTATAAGTTTTTAGCCTTCCCATGTATGTATTCAGATTTTTGCTCCCAATCTTTTTTTTAGGTTAAGGTCTTTATAAAGATTTTAGCCTTTCCATGTATGTATTCAGATTTTTGCTCCCAATTTTTTTTTTTTCCCCCCCTTAGAGGGAGTCTTGCTCTGTTGCCTGGGCTGGAGTGAGGTGGCCCAATCTCCACTCACTGCAACCTCCGCCTCCCAGGTTCAAGTGATCCTCCTGCCTCAGCCTCCTGAATAGCTGGGACTACAGATGCTTGCCACCACGTCCAGCTAATTTTTTGTATTTTTAGTAGAGACAGGGTTTCACCGTATTACGTAGGATGGTCTCGATCTCCTGACCTCATGAGTCTCCTGCCTTGGCCTCCCAAAGTGCTGGGATTACAGGTGTGAGCCACCATGCCCAGCCTCCTCCCATTCTTTTGGTGTTTGACTTGGGTGTTCTCCTATAGAATTAATACATACTAGGTATGGTAGAGTTCTTGTTTTTAGTCACTGGCCTTACTGTTCCTTAAACATTTCAAATTTTTGCCTCAGGGCCTTTGCACTTGCTGATACCTCTGTCTGGAACATTCAGCACCCAATTAATCAGGTGGTTTGCCCCTTCTGTACCCCTAGTTAATGTACACAACTTGCTAGCTTACTACATTTATGTCATGCTCATTCCTTGACTCTTCCCCACCCGAATGGTGCCCCCCCATCACTCTCCTCTTACCCTTCTTTAATTTTCTTCACAGCATTTGTCACTATTTTACATTATTCCATACTAGAAGGTGAGTGTCAGTTGTATTAGAACAGAAACTTGGTCTTACTCCCTCCTGTATTTCAGTGCCCAGAATAGTGCTTGGCACACAGTCTGTTGAGTGAGTGGATGACCTTGTGTGCAATCAGTTATTATCGTTGAACTTTGGTAAAGCATTAATTATGGCATCTTTGTGAGATGTTTAGATAAGATAGTTGCCGTAGGTATAGTCTGCATGTTGTGTTTTTAGTCTTTGAAGGTATGAAGTCAGGTAAGCAAGATCCTAACATAGTCTGTTTCTTGACATCTCTTACAGGTGTAGAGTATAGCCTATCCTCAGGTGTGTGCTCAAGTTTACATTAGGGCTTTTGGGTACCTTAGAATGTGAGTATTGCAATCTTTATTCAGGATGTTATCAGTCACTGGTACAGTTAGCCTTGTTATTAAAAATAGAAAAAAGAAAAGAAAACAGGTAGAAGTTGGAATTAGCCTTTGTAGGAAGAATTCCAGGCGCAAATGCAGGAAAAACCCAGTTGTCCTTGGAAACTGCTCTGGAGGAAGAGTTATTGGCACTATAATTCCCAAACCTGCCCTATTAAGAGATTCTGTGAAAATGGGTTAACCTTTATACCTGTTAAGATACTGATCTTAATAATGTTTTACAGGCAGATCCAGTGCCTAATGGTTTGCGAGCTTTGCCAGTTTTCTATGCCTGCACAGTTGGAATAAACCTCTTTTCCATCATGTATACTGGAGCACCGTGTAAGTAACTATCAAAATATTTAAATGTGAATTTAAAGTTGTTTACAAAACTTGCATTAAATGCCCAATTTACCCCTTTTTGCTTTACAGGGCTGAAATCTCCTAGAAGGTGGCTGGCCTGCGCCCATTTCAGAAGGCTGCAGGCTAGTGTACGCTGAGTTAACCTAGATAGTTTTTCAACCAAAGAGACCTGCTCAGATTCTAAATCACTACAGACCTTTCCTCTTTAGTCTTCACAGGATCCACTGATAATAGGATCATCTCCTTCCCTTTCTCCTGTCTATGCTAAAAATGCTGGAATTAATACTGACCTCAACTACTGAAGTCATTAGTTATATCTGATCTTCAGTAATCAGTCGTTTAGGACTGGTTTGCTGGATATTCTCATTTTTCTCTCCCAAATGGAGATACTATTGTTTCTAAGTACTAAACTTCCATGAATCTGCTTGAATGAGAAGAGTTGGGATGTTTACCACCTGCTCTAAGTGCACTTGGAAGAAGAATTCATGCAGCTAAGAGGAAAAATAATTTGTGAGAATATAAAGGTTGAAATGTTGATGACTTTCATGTTTGGGACTAAGGCAAGGCATGGATTAAATTATGGTGCTACAGGTTTAGCAACAACAAAAGATGGGTAACTTATAACTGGCAAGACAGTACAGTTTTGGTATCTTGGCTCATTTGACCTGATAGTCTGTGACTACATAGGCAGTGATTTTTATTCTTTATACTGTGACCCACTAGATGAAATAGAGGACACATGTGTATGTATGCAGAGAGAAAGATAACTGAAAGAGTTTCGTGAAGCCACTTATGCTTACTATGTGCTGTGCACCCATATTTTCAAATTCTGTCTCTCTCTTTTTTTTTTTTTTAACATTTGTTGTGGCCCACTGAAATGATTTCAGTTTTGACTAATGGGTTGTGACTTGCTTAAACCACACTGAAGTGGTAAGTTGCTGACCCAAAATAGAGTTAGCTAAATATTTTTATTTTTTGTTTATTTTTTTGAGACAGTTTTGCTCTTGTTGCCCAGGCTGGAGTGCAATGGCATGATTTTGGCTCACCACAACCTCCAGCTCCCGGGTTCAAGCAATTCTCCTGCCTCAGTCTCCCAAGTAGCTGGGATTATAGGCATGTGCCACCACACCCAGCTAATTTTGTATTTTTAGTAGAGATGAGATTTCTCCATGTTGGTCAAGCTGATCTCCAACTCCTGACCTCAGGTGATCCACCTTCCTCAGCCTCCCAAACTGCTGGGATCACAGGCATGATCACCACACCCAGCCAATACTTTAATTTTTTATCTTATTTTAGATTCAGGGATTATATGTGCATTTTGTTAGATGGAGCTAAGTATTTTTAATCTTGCTTTTATTCTTGGAATGATCAGGAACAAAACAGACAAGTTTAAGAAAATATTGTTCTTAGGATATACTGAACTCTTATGTGCAGGTGAAGAGAAGCTTGTATGCCAGATTTCCATTGTAAAATGAGTTATTTGTGATGAGCTAAAAAGTCTCCTATTGAGGCTCTTAGCACTCATTGTTTACATGGTAGAAGCAAAGCTCAGAGTTGAGTTAAATTAGAATCATTTTGAAAACAGAAACTTAGATATTTTTGTTCTGTCCTTTATGGATCATTTATGAGAAAAACCAATCTCTTCCCCTTTTGACTTGGAATGTAGACCAACTTGTGATAGACAATACTTTCATGTATATTTTAGTTTGTGTGACCACATGATCAAAACTGAAAGCAGAAATTAAAATGAAAAGATGTATAGTCACCGTAGAGTTGTAGTTTGGTGCCAGATGCCGTGGCTCATGCTTGTAATCCCAGCACTTTGGGAGGCCGAGGTGGGTGGATCATGAGGTCAGGAGTTCAAGACCAGCCTGGCCAAGATGGCGAAACCTTGTTGCTACTAAAAGCTACAAAAACTAACCCGGTGTGGTGGCAGGCGCCTGTAATCCCAGCTACTTGGGAGGCTGAGGCATGAGAATCACTTGAACCTGGGAGGTAGGTGGAGGTTGCAGTGAGCCAAGATCGTGCTACTGCACTCCAGCCTGGGCAACAGTACGTCTCAAAAAAAAAAAAAAACAATTTTGAAGGGACCTCAATTTGTTTCTGATTGATTGATTGATTTTTTGAGACGGAGTCTCGCCCTGTCACCCAGGCTGGAGTGCATTGGTGCGATCTTGGCTCACTGCAACCTCCACCTCCCGGGTTCGAGCAGTTCTCCTGCTTCAGCCTCTTGAATAGAGTAGCTGGGATTACACATGTGCATTACCATGCCCCAGCTAATTTTTGTATTTTCAGTAGAGACATGGTTTCACCATGTTGGCCAGGCTGGTCTCGAACTCTTGACCTCAGGTGATCCACCCACCTCAGCCTCCCAAAGTGCTGGGATTATAGGCGTGAGGCGCCGCGTCTGGCCTTGTATCTATTTTTAAAGATTAATCATTTTGGGGTTTAATAGAATTTCCAGTTTATAAGTACAGTCACTGACTTCATGGTTCAGTCTTCAGTTATTTGACTTTTTGATGGGTTTATAGGTACATAACCTCATTGTAAGTTGAGGAACATCTGTGATTTCATACATAGTAAGCAAAATAAAGCAAAACAAGCAGAAGTAACTAAGCTATTTCTAGATATCAACTACAGATCATTATAATATCTTTTATATATATATACATATATATATTCCCCCCCCCCCAGGGATGGGGTCTTGCTGTGTTGCCCAGGCTGGCCTTGTATTCCTGGGCTTAGGGGGTTCTCCCACTTCAGTCTCCTGAGTAGCTAGAGATCATTATAACATCTGTTAGACTTAAATAGGATTATATAGTGCTTCTTTTTTGTTTTTGTGATGGAGTTTCACTCTTGTCACCAGGCTGGATGGAGTACAGTGGCGCGATCTTGGCTCACTGTAACTTCCACCTCCCGAGTTCAAGTGATTATCCTGCCTCAGCTTCCCAAGTAACTGGGATTACGGGTGCCCACCACCACATCTGGCTAATTTTTGTATTTTCAGTAGAGACGGGGTTTCACCAGGCTGGTCTTGAACTCCTGACCTCAGGTGCTCTGCCCATCTCAGCCTCCCAAAGTGCTGGGATTACAGGTGTGAGACACTGTGCCTGGCCGGTGCTTTACTTCTGTCTGTAACACAGGCTAATGGTTTGGAGCATACTGGCATGCATATGACAATCAGATAATGACTAATATTACGCATCCTTAAACCATGTGACCAGTGTTGCTAGGCAAGTCTTTTTTTAACGTAAGACTTGTTAGTGAAATTACCACTAAACTTTGTGTGTGTGTGAAAGACGAAACTTTTTTTTTTTTTGAGACAAAGTCTCGCTTTGTCACCCAGGCTGGGGTGCAGTGGTGCAATCTCAGCTCACTGTAGCCTCCGTCCTGCACCCCCAGGGTCAAGTGATTCACCTCAGCCTCCCCAGTAGCTGGGACTACAGGCGCCCACCACCATGCCCGGCTTTTTTTGTGTAGTTTCAGTAGAGACGGGGTTTTGACATGTTGGCCAGGCTGGTCTCGAACGCCTGACCTCAAGTGATCTGCCTGCCTGGCCTCCCAAAGTGCTGGAATTACAGGCATGAGCCACCTTGCCTGGCCGAAAGACAAAACTTTTAAAACTCTTCCTTCAATTATTAACTTTTGATAGATAATATCCTTGTTTTCTGTGTCTTTGATATTGCTTTCAAGGAGATAATCTCATTAAAGCATTTTACTAAAAGTAAAGGCCAGTACAATGACTATAATCACCTTTTTACAGAATTCTGTCAGCATGACAAATGTGACTACTGAGACATTGTTTTAACATTAAGTTTGGAGGTGGTAATGGAATGTGTGGCAGTTATGATCATGAGCTAGGGAGTGGAACGCTGTCTTTTTCATAGCTAGTCATAGGTCCTTAGCATGTAGTGATCCTTATTACCTTCCAAAGTGAAGAAAGGAAAAAGGCTATATATTGAGAAGCATAGGACACTTGAGTCCCGCAGGTGTTCAGGTGGGCCGGGCTGGTGTGGGTTTTCAGATGATCATTGAGTTTTTCTCCCAAATTTGTATAGGCACTAGCACAGTAATCCTGTGCACTTAAATCTGGCAGCAGTTGTCAAGGGTGATGGGCTGGCATGGGGAACGCCTCAGTCCCCGGAGGAGGGTTTACACAGTATTGCAGGGGGCTGTTGCCCTGGGGTTTTCAAGATGCACCATTTTATCTCCTAGTGCTGGGCTTTGACAAACTTCCTCTGTGGGGTACCATCCTCATCTCGGTGGGATGTGCAGTTTTCTGTGCCCTTATCGTCTGGTTCTTTGTATGTCCCAGGATGAAGAGAAAAATTGAACGTAAGTAATAACTTATAACAGAAAAATTTATCTAATAATGTTGTGTTTCTTTTTTATTTGGCCACCTGTAAAAATCTATCAGGAGAGATTGGCAAAATAACAGATTTTAAAGAGAAATTTGAGGATATGGGTTTGCTGTCCAAACTGTGTTCTTAAGTGGACCTACATGACCTAAGACCTAGTGATAGAGAGTATTCAACCTATGCTGTAGAGACAATCTGGGCATTGAATTTTTTTTTTTTAAATGTTCCTTGGTCAGTTGCCAATGACATGATAGATAAATTGAGAAATCATAGCCTACATTTACTGAGAAGTACGAGGATACCTTAATGAAAAATAAGGGGTAGGTACAAGATATTTTCTTAGAGGTAAATATCCCAACTACTTCTGTGTATAACTTCAGATTCAGATAAGCAAAGCTAAGTCTAATGTGTACGTGTTGTATATGGGCTAGAATACATGTAGACATTGTGTTGCAGTGTACAATACAAATACATATACAAACACACATTGTGTGTCTGCTAGAATTGTAGCACAGATTCTAGAAGTAAACATTTTCAGGTGTCATGTGAAGGAATCGTTTAGGCCATTACAACACACTCCTGTAATACTGAGTAAATTTTGGTTAGTATCAGGCTTTTTTTTTTTTCCCCCCTTAAAAGAATCATTTTCTGCCCTTTTCATCTATGTGAAGGCTGGGTTAGCAATTTCAAGGTTATCCTTCTGCCCTTTTCATCTATGTGAAGGCTGGGTTAGCAATTTGAAGGTTATCCTTTCGAGGGATGCACAGACTGCAGTGGCGTTAGGAAGAATGCTGCGTCACCGCAGCTGAACCGAGGGGCCTCCGAGAGGTTCTGTGCTAGTCTGGCTGTGCCGAGTGCACGGTGGAAACCAGGCTTCCAGGACTCTCTGACCTCATTTTCCCTCTCTGGGAGGAGATGAGATAAGTCTTGTTTTATGTTAGAAAGTCTGTAGTTTGAGGTGCCTGAATGGATAGGTCAGCATACTGAGCACTGGCATGAGAGAGAGGCAGAAGATACTCTAGTCTGCCTGTGGGATTTAGAGCCATGATGCACATCTTTTTGTTTTATAGAGATGGAAGTTAAAGTTGTCGTCTTTAGTTCCCTGCATTGAGCTGTGCCACTTTGCTCGAATTGTTGGACTGAAATTTGAGAGAATCCTCTTTTCAAAAGAACAGAATTCGATACAGTTCAGATTTTTAGTTTCAGATTATCAGCCCCATGGTTGAGCTACTTTCCACTACAGAATGAGTTGGCAGGGAGCTAAGAGGGGGTTCTTATAGCTGTAAAGGGTTGTAAAAATAAAAACAAAACAAGAATGTGCTATAGAAGCCCATAAAACCTAAAATATTTACAGAAAAACGTTGGGACCCCTGACGTAGGGTGGCCTGCATTGCTGGTGGTTCCCAGGTGAGAGCTGCTGGCGAATGATAAAGCAGGCAGGAAAAATGTTCCTGAATGTTAACTGAAGTTCACATACATTCTTGTTTTGAGATGAGTTTTTTGGGGGTGGAGGAAAAAGTAGTAGGGTCACAACCAAACCAAAAAACCCCCCTTTTTTTTTTTCTAGGAGAAATAAAGTGTAGTCCTTCTGAAAGCCCCTTAATGGAAAAAAAGAATAGCTTGAAAGAAGACCATGAAGAAACAAAGTTGTCTGCCAGTGATACTGAAAGCAGGAATCCTGTTTCGGAGATAGGGCCTGCCGCTCTGCCCCTCCAGGCTGTGGTGGAGGAGAGAACAGTCTCATTCAAACTTGGAGATCTGGAAGAAGCTCCAGAGCGAGAGAGGCTTCCCAGCGTGGACTTGAAAGAGGAAACCAGCATAGATAGCACCGTGAATGGTGAGTTGGAATTCCTGCTTTCACTTTGTTACCTGCGGTGGTGAGGAGGTGATTGTTGTGGATCTGATGCTTTTTGTATTGAATGTCACCTTGGTGGTCTTGACTAGGTGCAGTGCAGTTGCCTAATGGGAACCTTGTCCAGTTCAGTCAAGCTGTCAGCAACCAAATAAACTCCAGTGGCCACTACCAGTATCACACCGTGCATAAGGATTCTGGCTTGTACAAAGAGCTGCTCCATAAATTACATCTGGCCAAGGTGGGAGATTGCATGGGAGACTCTGGTGACAAACCCTTAAGGCGCAATAATAGCTATACTTCCTATACCATGGCAATATGTGGCATGCCTCTGGATTCATTCCGTGCCAAAGAAGGTGAACAGAAGGGCGAAGAAATAGAGAAGCTGACGTGGCCTAATGCAGACTCCAGGAAGCGAATTCGAATGGACAGTTACACTAGTTACTGCAATGCTGTGTCTGACCTTCACTCGGCATCTGAGATAGACATGAGTGTCAAGGCAGAGATGGGTCTAGGTGACAGAAAAGGAAGTCATGGCTCTCTAGAAGAATGGTATGACCAGGATAAGCCTGAAGTCTCTCTCCTCTTCCAGTTCCTGCAGATCCTTACAGCCTGCTTTGGGTCATTTGCCCATGGTGGCAATGACGTAAGGTCAGTTGACATTGATCTTAGTGTTGCTAACCCTATTTTTAAACTGTTTATCCTTGTCATAGCCTGTGCTTGTGATAGTGGTACTCCTAGCATTTACGGGACCCCAAATAATCCAAATAGGATGAGGTAATAGCAGTTCTTGACGTAATGAGACAGTACAGTTTTATTCTTCGGAGGAATTACAAACAATGTTTATTTTTGTAGTTGATAAATATAAACAGATATTCTTCACAGAGAAGGCTTTTGTCTATCAAGATGAGATTCAGTTCTTTGATAATGAATTGTGGAATGTAAGATAAGATGTAAGATGGAAAACTTAAGTTTTTCATATAGAATGATTTTGTAGTTTAGTTTGTAAACTGTTTATTGGAACCCGAGAGTTGCTTTAAGCTGCCTATAGGAGGAAAGAGGCCACCATTTGCGTGGCATTCCCTCCATCAGAGCTGTGTTCATATTTCTGTTGTATATGTTGGGGTTCCATTTATGCCCTTAGAAAGAAAGGCCCTTTTGCTAGATGAGCTTGAAAGCTGTACTTTAGACAACCTGGTAGGTCATTCAGCAGATTGGGTCTTGCCAAGATGTAGTTCTGCCTGAAAAGTCACTTCCGCCCTCTTTGTCTCTTCCAGCAATGCCATTGGGCCTCTGGTTGCTTTATATTTGGTTTATGACACGGGAGATGTTTCTTCAAAAGTGGCAACACCAATATGGCTTCTACTCTATGGTGGTGTTGGTATCTGTATTGGTCTGTGGGTCTGGGGAAGAAGAGTTATCCAGACCATGGGGAAGGATCTGACACCGATCACACCCTCTAGGTAAGTAGGTGGAGCAGGTTCTACAAATGTCAGTACTCATTTTTTTCAGAGATGTAATACTGTCGAGTGCTAACACAAATCTCTTGTTGAACGTAACCAAGTTCCTCATGTTCTTATTGTCGGTGTGTTCTTTTTAGATTTTACTTGTCTGGCCCTTAAACATTTTGGTCAGACATTTTACCCATTCAGCTCTAGGGGTCTCTGAAGAAAATGACTTTTCTGAGAAAGCTGTGTGTGCTAAGAGGGGATAGTTACGTATACTTGCCTTTTATTTGTCTTTACTTGGGAGCTAAGACTCAATGTTTACCAAACTCTTCAAAATAAAAGTGCAAATTTTATTTAATAGTGAGATTTCAGAAAAACGTAAAACTTGAAACCTTCGAATAAGGAAACTGGGCATCCATGGCCTGATTTAAATGAAGTAGATAGTCTTAGGAGTTATAGCACGTAAAGATGTCAGTGGAGGTTTTGTGACTGAGTAGAACAAAACAGGACTGTGTTAACTTGAGGCGTAGTGTTAGCTTCTCAAAAAAGTCAAACTCACTTCCTGACAAGAATCCTTTTGTGTCTATAGTGGCTTCAGTATTGAACTGGCATCTGCCCTCACTGTGGTGATTGCATCAAATATTGGCCTTCCCATCAGTACAACACATTGTAAAGTAAGTGTACTGCCAATGTGTGTCTTTCAAATGGTTCTTCTAATATGTAGGGTTTTTAATTTTACTTCTCTGATACTTTGATTTAGAAGGTTTTATGCAATTGGAGTCTTGAAGAGTTCATCAATCTAGGACAAGCATACAATTTCTTTTGTCTATTCTTGTTTAAGCAATTAAATAGATATTCTCCCCAAATAATAGAAACATTCTTTTATATAGAGCTTACTGTAATTTCTGGTTACTAACCTCTTCCTTTGTTACTTAATCCTCCCTCATTGTAGTCTCTTTATAACATATATATATTTTAAATCTCAAGAGTCATTTCTACTTGGCACCATTATATTTTATTTATTTACTTATGAGTTGGAGTCTTTCTCTGTGGCCCAGGCTGGAGTGCAGTGGCACAATCTTGGCTCACCGCAACCTCCGCCTCCTGGGCTCAAGTGATTCTTGTGCCTCAGCCTCCCAAGTAGGTGGGATTACAGGCACCTGCCACCATGCCTGGCTAATTTTTGTATTTTTAGTAGACACATGATTTCACCTTGTTGGCCAGGCCGGTCATGAACTCCTTCCTGACCTCAGGTGATCTACCTGGCTTGACCTCCCAAAGTTCTGGGATTAGATGCGTGAGCTACTGCTCCCGGCTGACACCATTATGTTCTTTGTCTTTGGGGAAGCCATTCAGAGCAGGGTAGGTGTGTGCTTAAAAACTGGTGGGTGCTTTAATTCTGGCCAGGTGGGTTTCTGCTGCCATTTGTGGTGGCTGAAGGCCTGGTTCTAACAAGTCTGTGAGGCTTGCCAAAATGTTGGCAAGGCAGTTTATTTACAGAAGGCATGTATTCAGGGCCTCTCGGGATTGAAATACTGAGAAACAAAACAAATCTTAAGGTTGTCTGATGATAATCTAATAATTATAGGAAAAGAAAGAAACTGGTTTCCTTAAGAGCATTTAAGCTGGTCCATCATGGATCCTGCTGAGTCATCTATTTGCTGCCAGGTTGTGTCTCACAGCAATTGTTTATTAGGTTTAATATCAGCCACTCTATAAATAATCTTAGGAAGACTTACAGCACAATTTGTTGTTAAAAGCAGTGTATAGGCCAGGCGCGGTGGCTCACGCCTGTAATCCCAGCACTCTGGGAGGCCGAGGCGGGTGGATCACGAGGTCAGGAGTTTGAGACCAGCCTGGCCAACATAGTGAAACCCCGTCTCTACTAAAAATACAAAAAATTAGCTGGGCATGGTGGCGGGTGCCTGTAATCCCAGCTACCTGGGAGGCTGAGGCAGGAGAATTACATGAAGCCGGGAGGCAGAGGTTGCAGTGAGCCGAGATTGTGCCACTGCACTCCAGCCTGGGCAACAGTGTGAGACTCTGTCTCAAAAATAAATAAATAAATAAAATAAATATATAAACAGTGTATATTCATTAAATTTTAGTAGCTTAGAAGGGGAAAAGAAATAGTTCTTGTGTCCTTTTACTACCGTTAGTATAGATTATGATTGGATTTTCAAATTGCCTTCATTTTCCCATCTTAACCTGTTGTAAACCAGCTTTCTTGGACTTGGTCTTGTCCAGGGGTCTGGGGCTCCTTGTCCAAACAGTCTCAGGTGTCTGTTTGCCAAAATACCATTGCCAGTTTAACTACCTGTTTCCTTGGTCTGTTTCTCTTTTAGGTGGGCTCTGTTGTGTCTGTTGGCTGGCTCCGGTCCAAGAAGGCTGTTGACTGGCGTCTCTTTCGTAACATTTTTATGGCCTGGTTTGTCACAGTCCCCATTTCTGGAGTTATCAGTGCTGCCATCATGGCAGTCTTCAGATACATCATCCTCAGAATGTGAAGCTGTTTGAGATTAAAATTTGTGTCAATGTTTGGGACCACCTTAGGTATTCCTGCTCCCCTGAAGAATGATTACGGTGTTATTGAAGACTGACAAGAGTCTTTTTATTTGGGAGCCAGATGAGGGAAGTGTTACTTGTGCTATAATTGCTTTTGTGCTAAATATGAATTGTCTCAAAATTAGCTATGTAAAATAGCCAGGGTTCCACTGGCTCCTGCTGAGGTCCCCTTTCCTTCTGGGCTGTGAATTCCTGTACATATTTCTCTACTTTTTGTATCAGGCTTCAATTCCATTATGTTTTAATGTTGTCTCTGAAGATGACTTGTGATTTTTTTTTTTTTTAAACAACCATGCAGAGCCATTTGACAGAGTATGCTCTGCTTCATTGGTTTCACCAGCTTCTGCCCTAACATGCACAGGGATTTAACAACAAAAAAATATAACTAAAACTTCCCTTGTAGTCTCTTATATAAGTAGAGTCATTGGTACTCTGCCCTCCTGTCAGTAGTGGCAGGATCTGAGTGAACACAGCCTATACACTTCATGTTAGCACACGTGGTATTGTTTTTTTTGTTTTGTTTTTTTCCAATTTTTTCTTTTGTACTTTTTGTTGTGTTTTTGAGATGGAGTCTCGCTGTGTCGCCAGGGCTGGACACTGCAGTGGTGTGGTCTCCGGCTCACTGCAACCTCAGCCTTCTGGTTTCAAGCAATTCTCCTGCCTCAGCCTCCTGAGTAGCTGGGACTACAGGCGCTCTCCACCACGTCTGGCTAATTTTTAGTAGAGAGAAGCTTTTGGCATGTTGGGCCGAGCTGGTCTCAAACTTTTGACCTCAAGTGATCCGCCCTGACTTTGCCTCCCAAAG